AAAAAAAAAAAAAAAAGAGGAGAGAAAGGGGAAAAAGAAAGAAAGAAAGGGGAGTAGGTGGTAATTAGGAACAAAGAAAAGGAATATGAAAAGACACAAAGGGTTTTATCCTTCATTGAATCATAGAGCATGAAACCTTCTTTTCTTAACATCTACTTAATGAAACTATATTATTATAATTATATTATCTATCTCTAATTATAAATCCTCGATGAAGCATAATATTGAAGTGCCTAGTTTCCATTAGAAGTTATCCCGTATTTGAAATTATACCTATATATTTATACTTATATATGTATACACTTTTTCAGCCAACATTTTACCTAGAGATTTTTTAAATTTTCTTCCTGGGCTTCCTAAAGATTCCAATATTTCACTTAACCGTAATGTGACTTCTGCCACTACCACAATGTCAATGTCTTCCATTTTAGAGCAGTGAATTACTTCATTTAACTGCCACAGAAGATAAATCCACTAAAATGAGAAAATACAGAGCAAAATCAATTAAAAGTATATGAAACTATAGAAAGTGTAACATTTTTCAAAATGTGTACTTCCTTGAAATAACCATCTTCTAATCATATAGAAATGTTACACAGGTACCCCTCCTTATTAATGTCTTAATTATAAATAATATAAAACTCAGTAATCCTTTTGAAATATTAATCAGCTCCTATAAATTCATAAGGTAGATTCATTTAAGTAGAATAATGGCTTAACATCTATAGCCATTATGGCAAACTTATGATCAGTTATTTGTACATACCAGTGAATAGTATCTGTAACCTCCAAGTTCTCACTGTCCCTTCAAAGCAGCTGCTATGATTACTATCAACATCCTCCTTATGAGTGAGGGGGAGGCAGGTGTTTCAGGGTCCACATTAGATGCCTTAAATTGTCTTTCATGGCCGGGTGTGGTGACTCACGCCTGTAATCCCAGCACTTTGAAAGGCCGAAGCAGGTGGATCCCTTGAGGTCAGGAGTTCGAGACTAAGCCTGGCCAACATAGTGAAACCCCATCTCTATTAAAAATACAAAAAAATAGCTGGCATGGTGGTGCACACCTGTAATCCCAGCTACTCTGAAGGCTGAAGCAGGGGAATCGCTTCAACCCGGGAGGCAGAGATTGCAGTGAGCCAGGATTGCACCTCTGCACTCCAGCCTGGGTGAAAGAGCGAGTCTCTAGCTCAAAAACAAAAGAAAAAAGGAAGGAAAGGAGGGAGGGAGGGAGGAAGGGCCAAGATCACGCCACCACACCCAGGACAGGGCAAGACCCTGCCAAAAAATAAATAAACAGAAAACCCTGAAATACCTCTTCACTCTTCACAGCAAACAAAATTAGAACAGGAGTGCAGGAAGCACACATTAAAAGAAAGGGTCACTCAGCACTAGAAAGAATATCATATATATATATATATATATATATGCAATGAAAGTCATTAACCAGGTGAAAAATAGGAAAATTTGGATTTTAAATGTGTATGGCAACTTGAATTAGCAATAGCAAAGAGCATGTGAAAGGAAATGCAAAAGGAATACTTTGTTAGTACTGATTTTCTGGGTGAATTTTGCATAGTCATTTCTGGATATATTGAGCCGCTGAATTCCTAATTTGCATTTCTGCCATAGGAACATTATTGTGTCCACAACGATTTCCTTATCAGGCTGAACATCCTAAAAACAAAAGTGAGAAGGTAAATGAGTGAGAACAATAAAATACAAGTATATAACATTCACTGTGTGCTGAGCAACACTCTAAGAGCTTTACAAAGACTAACACATTGAATCTTCATAATGATCCTATGAGAGGAGTCCTAGTATGACCCTCCCCATTTTACAGATGAGCAAACTGAAACCCAAGGAGATTGATTTTCCCCAACATGAAATGACTAAAGAGTGGCAGATGGGAGAGACTCAAACCTAAGTAGTCTAGCTCCAGAGTCCTCACTCTTTTTTTTTTTTTTCCTTGAAGCAGGGCCTCACTAGCTGGAGTGCAGTGGCACAATCTCAGCTCATGATCTTGGCTCACTGTAACCTCTGCATCCCAGCAGGTTCAAGCGATTCTCATGCCTTAGCTTCCCAAGTAGCTAGGGCTACAGGCGTGCCACCATTCCCAGCTCATTCTTGTATTTTTAGTAGAGACAGGGTTTCACCTTGTTGGCCAGGGTGGTCTCGAACTCCTGGCCTCAAGTGATCCACCCAACTCGACCTCCCAAAGTGCTGGGATTGCAGCGTGAGCCACCGTGTACAGCCTAGATACCTTGTTCTTAATGAAGGTTCTATGCTCTTCTGCCTCTCTAAAAAGAAGAGTCTCAAACATTTTTAGGGAAGATTGCAAACCAATTACTCCCACCCGACCATAAAATTTACATATACTTTTCTCTTTGTAAAATTATTTCATTAAAATAATAAGGAATTGGACAGACACGGTGCCTCAAGCCTGTAATCTCAACACTTTGGGAGGCCGAGGTGGGTGGATCACCTCAGGTCAGGAGTTCAAGACCAGCCTGGCCAACATGGCAAACCACCAACTCTACTAAAAATATAAAAATTAGGCCAGGCGTGGTGGCTAATGCCTATAACCCCAGCACTTTGCGAGAGTGAAGTGGGTGGATCACGAGTTCAAGAGATCAAGACCATCCTAGTCAACAAGATGAAACCTCGTCTCTACTAAAAATACAAAAATTAGCTGGGCATGGTGGCGCATGCCTGTAGACCCAGCTACTCGGGAGGCTGAGGCAGAATTGCTTGAACCCAGGAGGTGGAGGTTGCAGTGAGCCGAGGTCGCACCATTACACTCCAGCCTGGGTAACAAGAGTGAAACTTCGTCTCAAAAAAAAATTAGCTAGGCATAGTGGCACGTGGTGGTGTTAGCTGAGGTGGTCCCAGCTACTTGGGAGGCTGAGGCACAAGGATCCTTTGAACCTGGAGGGCAGAGGTTGTGGTGAGCTTGAAATTATACCACTGTACTCCAATCTTGACAAGAGAGCAAGACTCTGTCTCAATAATAATAATAATAACAAGGAACTGGAGTAGGGGGAGATGAACTAGTAACTAGAGAGGCAATGAGGAATTGGGAAAGGGTAGAGACACGAAGGAAAGGGGAAAAGCTGAACAGAACCTCACACTGGGTATCATTTGATGAGCCAGAATGAGTATATCTTCTCTTATTCAAGCTACTTGCCTCTTTGCAAAAGAAAATTATTACTCATTACAGCTAAACTAGAAAAATAATGAGTTTATTATTAAAATATACCAAACCTGGAGCTTTCTGAGACGGCTCTAAGACCTAATTTGCATATGTGGCACCTTCCTACAATGTTTGGGAATACAACAGAGATCAATAAATGTTTAATGAATTAAATTGAACAAAGACATACATTATTTTAGAAAAACAGATAAATGAGGGCCAGGCACGGTGGCTCACACACCTGTAATCCCAGCACTTTGGGTGGCTGAGGGGGGTGGATCACCTGAGGTCAGGATTTTGAGACCAGCCTGTCCAACATGATGAAATTCCGTCTCTATTAAAAAATACAAAAACTAGCCGGGTATGATGGCACACACCTGTAATCCCAGCTACTCGGAAGGCTGAGGCAGAAGAATTGCTTAAAACTGGGCGAAAGAGGTTGGGGTGAGCTGAGATCCCACCACTGCACTCCAGTGTGGGTGACAGAGTGAGACTCTGTCTCAAAAAAAAGAAAAAACAGATAAAAGAAAGTTCCCGATCTTCTTAAGCCTTGATTGCTATGTTTTGGTTTAGCTCTCCCACTATAATAATTTATTTACTGCCAAACACCTTTATGTCAAAAATTAAATACCTGTCACAGGTCATAACTTATTCTGACAAACCAGAGGAAATCAAAAATCGTATAAAGCAGAACTTCTCAAGTCGCTTACTGTGTTTCACTTACCTGGGCAAAAGTTAACATAGCGCTCTCTAATTGTGGTTTACATGCTTTTTAAAAATAACAACATAACCAAATTTTCAAATGAAATTCCATCAGAAACCCAATGTTATATACAAAACTAACAAAAACAGATTAGGGAGCTACTACTCAAAGTTGGGCTTCTCCATTATCCTCAGCAAACTAACACAGCAGGAACAGAACCAAACACCGCATGTTCTCACTTATAAGTAGGAGGTACAGCAAACCACCATGGCACACGTTGCCCTTTGTAACAAACCTGTGGGTCACGCACATGTACCCTGGGACTTAAAATTAAAATTAAAAACAAAATAATTTTTTAAAAAACAGGCCAGGCACAGTGGCTCACGCCTGTAATCCCAATACTTTGGGAGGCTGAGGTGGGTGGACCACAAGGTCAGGAGTTCAAGGCCAGCCTGATCAACATGGTGAAACCCCATCTCTACTAAAAATACAAAAATCAGCCAGGCATGGTGGCAGGCACCTGCAATCCCAGCTACTCAGGATGCTGAGGCAGGAGAATCACTTGAACCCAGGAGGCAGAGGTTGCAGTGAGCCAAGATCATACCACTGCACTCCAGCCTGGCCAGCGGAGCAAGAAAAGAAAAAAGAAGATGACAAAGTTGGGTTTCTGAGGATCCCTGGAATTTGTTTAATAACCATTGCTATACTATAATAGTTTCACCTTCATATAGGCCATTTCTAAATTCTGGCCATTGTATGCAAAGTGACTTCCAATAATAACAAGACTTTGTACTCATGGACTGAGAGCAGTATGTCATTAAACATATTAACTCTTTTTGAAAACCACTGCCTCATTTCCTTCATTATTAGAAATATTAGAATTTCCCAAAAAAAACCAGACACTCAAAATGACAACAATAATTTTTTTAAAAAATTACAAGTCAGAATCTAACTTAATCCTATATTCCAATGATTAAACAAAATAACATTTTAGCAAGGTGTAATTCCTGTGATATTTTAAATCTGGCCTTGTTCACACTAATAAAAAATATTTAAAGTAGCTATTTCACCTGAGGACTGGTGCAGACACAGAAACACAAGGTTGCTGCCAAATGGAAAATATCCTCTGAATATCCACAAATCTTCAAATAAGTATCTAAATTCATAAAGCAGCAGAAAATGAAACAAAGAAATCAGAAAATTTCAAATAGAAAAAGCACAGAAACACAAATATGCCACAAAAATGACATAAATTATAGGTGGGCAAATATCACGTCAATAAGACAGATTAAATAAATACTTCTTTATGAAAACTAATCTTGGCTGGACACAGTGGCTCATGCCTGTAATCCCAGCACTTTGGGAGGCCGAGGTGGGCAGATCACTTGAAGTTAGGAGTTCGAGACGAGCCTAGCTAACATGGTTAAAACCACATCTCTACTAAAAATACAAAAGAAACTAGTTGGGCATGGTGGCAGACTACTGTAATCCCATCTACTTGGGAGGCCGAGGCAGGAGAGTCACTTGAACCCAAGAGGCAGAGGTGTGGTTAGCCAAGACTGTGCTACTGCACTCCAACCTGGGCAAAGAGCAAGACTGTATCTCAAAAAAAAAAAAAAAAAGAAAAGAAAACTAATCTTAATGGCTCTAATTCAATTAAAATAGACTATTATTACCATAAACCATATTTGTATGTTATGTCCAAAAAGAAACTGAGGCTTATAATATTAAAATGCATATAAAATATGGTAGTTGAATGAAAATAAAAATATTGATTCAGAAATCACTAGAAGACGTATATATCATTACGTGGTACAAATTACTTACTGCAACTGATAAGCCATGCAATGCCTTAAGAACATGGAAAAACATTAAAAACCTGGAATTAAATAGTTCCCATTGATGAAAAAGTAGACACTGCAGATTTTCAATTACACAGAGTAACTTTTAGAATTTGAAAAGTCCTAGAACAGCAAACACTGCATGCTGGGAAGACAGAGGAGATTACCAAAGCTTTCCTTTCTAACATGAACTGATGACTCTGTCCTCTGATTCACTGCCTTACTGGCCACCGTCTTATCCCACTAAGCCAGCAGGTAGGTAGAACCTCATTCTCCTACTCAAAACTGTCACTCAGAATATAATCTAGCATCCTTACAAAGCTCAGGAACCACATCACCTAGCGCTCAGCTACTTCTTTAACCTTGTCACCTCCCACACTCGGTCACACATGCCCCCATGCCATTCCTGCAACCACCAAGCACACTCCTGTCTCAGGGCCTGGTACCTCTTGCTCCCTCTGCCTTCAATGTTCTTTCTCTCGCCTCATCTATAAAGAGCATATTTCATGAAACTATCTTAATTTTTTGAACAAATACTCACCCTGAACAGCAATTTTTTTTAAATAAATTTGAGCTGCCTCTCCTTCTCTATAGTTTTCCAAAGGAAAGATCAAACCTTTGTTTCTCTTTATGTTGATTAGTGGTTCCATTGCAATCAGAAGAGTTAAATCCTTCTCTGCTTTCTTTGACTCTGGATCATCCTGCCTCTTGGAGAAGAATATCCCACATGTTGACAAGTAATTCAATGTCATTTAAACATAACAAAACCAGGAGGATGATTTTGCATATAGTACCTGGAGAAAATAAATAAGATGTGCAGCAGAAGATTCAAATAAACTCCACTCCTCATAAGTAAAAGCTAATTTTGTAAACTTCACAGCAGCATCCACAGAAATAACATCTTTTCTTTCTATCACAAGTTCCAGAAGAGATGTTTTCGGAAAATCAAGCATTCCATCTGCACCAGTATTTGACACTAGAAAAGGAAGAGGAGAGTTTTGAGTAACATTTGTTCAAATAAATATTTATTAAATATTCACTGTAGACACTTTCAGGAAACAGGAAAACACAATCCCTGCTTTTATAGCGTTTATGCTCTAGTGGGGTAAACAAGAAATCTTAGTGGGCAAATACAGGGTGGTGCTTTGGGGACAAATAGGAAGGGCTCCAACACAGATCTGGGGAAGGAGGACAGTTAGGGAAGGATACTCAGGGGAAAGATAATGGAATCTCAAACACAGAGAATGAGCAATAGTTCCTAGATATCGATTGGAAACTTGGGAAAGAGATCTAAAATGGGGATATACCTTTTAGAGTCATCATTATTTATCCACAGTAAATAGTAGATTCAGCCACGGGCCATGTATAGTTACCTCGCACAGAATAAGGAACACCATCATTTAAGAGAAGCGCAGAGGGAGTAAAGGCTGCCAAGGTGAGTGGTTAGAGAGAAAGTAGTAGTCGACAGTAACATACACTACGGAAAGTAAAGAAGGAAAGGACTAGCCAGGCTTATCAGCATGCACCTATAGTCCCTGTTACTCCGTAGGCTGAGGCAGGAGGATAATTTGAGCTCAGGAGTTTGAGTCCAGCACATAGCAAGACCCCGAGAAGAAAAGAAAGAAAAGAAAAGAAAGAAAAGAAAAGAAAAGAGAGAAAAAGAAAAAGAGAGAGAGGGAGGGAGGGGGAGGAAGGGCAGGAGGGAGGAAAGAGGGAGAAAGGAGGAAGGAAGAAGGGGGAGGAGGAAGGGGAGGGGGAAAAGCAACTAGAAGTGACCCTGGGATTGAGCAATAAGGTAGTCCATGACATTCTCCATAGAGTGCTAGGGACTGCCTGATGTATACGTAGAAATAAAATACTTAGGAACAGTGAAAACAGACAATTCCTTCAATAAATCTGACTGTACCAAGAAGAAGACCTATAGGAAGATGAAAGAGAACATGGAGGCCCAGTCACGGTGGCTTACATCTGTAATCCCAGCACTTTGGGAGGCCAAGGCAGGTGAATCCCTTGAGCCCAAGAGTTTGAGACCAGCCTGGGCAACACGGAGAAACCTCGACTCTGCAAAAAATACAAAAATTAGCCACGTGTGGTGGCACATGCCTATAGTCAGAGCTACTCAGGAGGCTGAGGTGGGAGGATCACTAGAGCTAAGGAGGTCTAGGCTGCAGTGAGCCATGATCACACCACTGCACTCCAGCCTGGGCGACAGAACAAAACCCTGTCTCAAAAAATATATATAAAGGACACAATATAAAGGGACCACTTGGACACTTGGAGGAATTAGGCTTAAAGATGCAAAGAGAAACTTCCCCTCCATTTAAATGAGAAATGGTGGGAAAAGACAGATATGCATGAGGGTAAATTTAGGGGTTTGGGTGAGGGAAGTCAAGGAAATTCTTATCTAAAAGATTGTATTTTTCTTGGCAACAGAAGAGCCCAAACTGTGGCACCGGCGGTTCCCTGCATTGAGATGAGCATTCACACACACAGGCACCCACATGTGCACACATACACGAAACTCACCTAGAGGCACAGGAGTTAACTCTAGGCTTTCCTCCCTCCACCCCAGTGGACACTGTAGCCAAGTCAGCTGATTGTTCCAAGAAGAAAAGCTCACGGGAAAAGAAAATTGAAAGCAAAAACACCTTGAAAGAAAAAACACAAATGAAGCATCCTTTGCCACAAGAAGCAGGAAAACGGAGCAGCATGAACAAGAACGTAAGTGAAAGTGTTCTCTCAGAAATAAAAGAGGATATTAGAAACATGAGACAAGAACAATTGCTGTGAAAAAGAACCAAGTGAATTCAAAGTATTAAGTATATCATTGTCGACAGCTGGGTGTAATGGCTCACACCTGTAATCCCAGCACTTTGGGAGGCCAAGACAGGCAGATCACCTGAGGTCAGGAGTTTGAGACCAGCCTGGACAACATGGTGGAACCCTATCTCTACTAAAAATACAAAATATTAGCCCACAGTGATGGTGCACGCCTGTAATTCCAGCTACTCAGGAGGCTGAGGCAGGAGAATCACTTGAACCCAGGAGGTGGAGGCTGCAGTGAGACAAGATCGTGCCACTACACTCCAGCCTGGGCAACACAGCGAAACTCTGTCTCAAACAAACAAAAAAAGTATATCATTGTTGAAACAAATAATTAAATAGATGAACAGAAGAGCAGAACAGAGAGAATCAAAGATCAAATTCGTGACCTGAAAAATCAGATAGAGGAAGCTTCCCAGAGGGCAACAGAAAGGAATACAGACATGAAAAGAATAAAATAAATAAGACATGGAGGATGAACATCTATCCTGTTAACATCTGTCTAATGGCATCTTCAATGCCTTGAAGGATTTTTTTTTAAAATAGTGAATATAAGGAAAGAAATTTAAAAATAACATGAAAAAAATCAAAGAAAGATATAAGACCTCAAAGTATCTGCTGGATTACTAAACCCACCCCTAGATCCAGTATAATAAAATGTAAGAATGTCATAAGAAAGAGAAAATTGTAAAAGATATATCTACAAAACAACAAGATTTAAAATGACATTAGACTTCTCAACAGAAACACTGTTTATACAAGACTATGAAGAAATAGCATCAAAATCTTAAAGAAACTTGTAAATAAACTATTATATCCAGTCGAACTACTTCAAAATTCTTAGTTTGCATTTGAGCAAAAAGAAATGAATTTAGAAAGAAGCAATGAAAAATGGGAAGTAATGATGAGGAGAAAAAAATCTTAATAAAGGTATTTTCTGTCTTAAAAAGCAATGACCAGGACTTGTATTCAGAACATAAAAAGAGCTCTGAAAGCTCAAGAGAAATAATTAACAATCCAATTAGTAAATGAACAAAAGACACTAGAGAAAAAGAGAGTATATAGATAGCAAATAAACACATGAAAAACTATTTAACATCTTTAGCCATTAGGGAAATGCAAATTAAAGTCACAGTGGGATGTTACTATATACCTATCAGAATGGCTAAAATAAGAGAGTAATGATACACCAAATTCTGTCAAGGATGTTCAAAAACTGCATCATTCACACATGGCTGGTGGAAAGATAGTATAGTCACCCTGGAGAATAGTATGACTGTTTCTCACAAAACTAAATACAAACTTATCATATATCCGATCCAGCAATTGCACTGTTGAGCGTTTTATTCCAGAGAAATGAAAATAGCGTTTCTGTTGAGACATCTAATGTCAGTTTAAATCTTGTTGTATTGTAGATGTATCTTTTACAATTTTCTCTTTCTTATGACATTCTTACATTTTATTATACTGGATCTAGGGGTGGGTTTAGTAATCCAGCAGATACTTTGAGGTCTTATATCTTTCTTTGATCCATTTTTCATGTTACTTTTAAATTTCTTTCCTTATATTCATTAAAACAAAAAATCCTTTCACATTAAAAACTTGTATTCTCTGAACGTGCCCCATCTCGTCTGATCTCAGAAGCTAAGCAGGGTCAGGCCTGCTTAGTACTTGGATGGGAGACCACCTGGGAATACCAGGTGCTGTACGCTTCAATAAACAAATAAATAACTTGTACTCAACTGTTCATAGCAGCTTCATTTCTAACAGCCAAAAACTGGAAACAATTCAAATGTCCTTCAAAGGGTAAGTAGTTAAACAAACTAGTTTATTCATACCATAAAATACTACTCAGCAGTTAACAAATGAACATTTTTTTTGAGACAGAGTCTTGTTCTGCGGCTCAGGCTGGAGTGCAGTGGAGTGCAGGCTGGAGTGAGTCTCCACTCACTGCAATCTCCGACTCCTGGGTTCAAATGATTCTCCTGCCTCAGCCTCCCAAGTAGCTGGGACTACAGACATGCGCCATCACACCAGGCTAATATTTGTATTTTTAGTAAAGACAAAGCTTCGCCATGTTAGCCAAGCTGGTCTTGAATTCCTGGGCTCAACGAATCTGCCCACCTTGGCCTCCCAGAGGGCTAGGGTTACAGGTGTGAGCCACTGCACCTGGCCAAGTGACTAATACACACAACCTGAATACATCTCAAGAGAATTATGCTGAGTGAAAAAACAGACAACACAGATACAGCCACCTAATTTATTACTAAGGGATACTGCAGCCAATGAAAGGAAGTTATCTTCAATAAACGGTGCTGTGTCAACTGAATATACCAAAAAAAGTAAATAAATCTTGATCTCTACCTCATATCAACAAAAAAGATCTAATTTCTAATTACAGGCCTCATGTGAGGGGTAAAACAATAAAACTTATGAAGGAAACATATGAAAATATATTTACCACATTGGGGTAGCTGAGACTTCTTTATCATGACACACAAAGGATCAACTATATAGGATACACTGAAAAATTGAACATTAAAATTAAGAATTTCTGTTCCCAAATAGATATCATTAAGAGAATGAAAAGGCAAGCTGCCAAGTAAGAAAAGATATTTGCAATAAATGTATTCAATAAAGGATTTATATCAAGAATATACAAAGAATTCCTACAAATGTACAGAAGAAAACGACAAAAAGTTAAAAGAGGCACCTCACAAAATAGGATATCCAATGGTGAAAAACATGTATGAAAAGATTTTTAACTTTATTAGTCATCAGAGAAATTTAATTTTATAATGCAACATCATTGAATTCACATCAAAATGGACAAAATGAGAAAGACAGACAATACTAAGTGTCAGAGAGAATTTGGAGTAATGGAACCCTCATAAAATGTTAATGGGTGTGCAAATTGAAAAAAAAAAAAAACACTTTGTAAAACAGTATCTGATAAAGCAAAATAGGAATATCCCATGCTCTTGCAATTCCACACCAGCAGAAATGCACAGCAGATTTTTAACACATCTCTCTGAGAAATTTATAAAACAAAAAGACAAACACTATCAGTAGGGATAGAGAAAATCTAACCATATGATTTACTAACTTAATCAACATATACATAAAGCAACGCACCTAACAACAACAAAAAATACAGTCTTTCAAGTACATACAGACTATTTACCAAAGCTGGTTATTTGCCAGGCCATAAAGCCTACCTTAACAAATGATCACAGTTCCAAATAATACAGAATATCCTCTCTGTCCATAGTATAATGAACATAAAAATCAGTAACCAAAAGATAATTAGAAAATCCCCCGTATTTTTATGCAGAACTTATATATCAAAGAATAAATCATACTGCAAGTTAGAAAATATTCTTAAACAGTAATGAAGATATGATATATCAAAACTTCAGGTACATAGCTAAAGCTGATTTAGAATAAATGTCCTAATATGCATTTAATGCAAAGAATAACAAATTCTAAAAATCAATGATCTTAGCTTCCAAGTCAATAAGTTTT